AAACTGCATAGGATATTGTTCTTGGATGATGATATTGTTGTTCAAAGGGATTTGACTGGCCTTTGGAAGATAGATATGGACGGTAAGGTGAATGGAGCCGTGGAGACTTGTTTTGGCTCATTCCATCGGTATGCACAATACATGAATTTCTCTCATCCTTTGATCAAAGAGAAGTTTAACCCCAAAGCGTGTGCATGGGCATATGGGATGAACTTCTTTGACTTGGATGCTTGGCGCAATGAGAAATGCACAGAACAATACCATTACTGGCAGAGTCTGGTACGACATGTTCTCATGATGTATTCTAATGGCTACTAATATTATGGTCCAGGCACTGTTGGTTTTATTAATCATTATTTGGCAGCATCTACTATTTGCACATCTTTTTATGATTGATTGCAGTATGTGAATACACCTGCTTTTCTTATTTTGAGTTGTTTACTATGCTTAGTTTCTGAGTTTCAATTCATTCATATATTTTTTTGCGCAGAATGAAAACCGAACTTTGTGGAAATTGGGAACGCTACCTCCCGGGTTGATCACATATTACGCAACAACAAAGCCTCTAGATAAATTTTGGCATGTCCTAGGGCTTGGATACAATCCAAGCATAAGCATGGACGAAATTACCAATGCTGCAGTTGTCCACTTCAATGGGAACATGAAGCCATGGCTCGACATTGCCATCCCCCAGTTTCGGCCTCTCTGGACAAAATATGTTGATTTTGAGAATGAGTACATCCAGGCCTGTAACTTTGGCCTGTAAGTCGTGGCGATTGTTGAAGCTCTGCGGAGAAGACTCATCCAACTATTCTCTCCACGCCCTCTTACACATAAAGTTAGTATTCATTTCATATCATAGAACCTCTTAGCATAAACCTTAGTTTTAGTATATTCACTTTCTGAAATAGTATAAATTCCATAATCTCCAATTGTCCATAATTGTTATCTATATTTATGGCTAAACTTCTCGATAAGATATTTTGCAATTCATATACTAGCAGGCAGCTTATATAGTACTCCTTCCCATTTGCATGGTGTAGTGCATAATAAACAATGTTTTTTCAGCAAAGACTTCATCTACAAAACCTTAATGCTTCTGTTTTGTGTATATAATTATAATTCTGCTGTTAAAGCTTGAGTAATCATTCTTCACAATCAAGTGAAGCTTGATTTAATCAAGTGAAGATGCCATAAAATTTTGGGTCCTTTTAGGCGGCTAAGGGAAGCCTAGTCCTTAGGTGGTTCATATGGTCCTAGAATTTTAGAGCATTGGGTTCAGCAGTGGTTTTCCTCTTGAACTTGCATGATATAGAGAAAGGGCAATGTGATTGGTCATGATTCGCATGGCCCTATCATTCAAAAATATATGTAGGCCTATATTTTTGAATGGAAGGCCCATGCGTGTCGTGGCAAAATCACCCTTTTTCTCTTGTACTTCATATGTTGTAACTCAACAACTACAAGTACGAAACGCCTCCACAAAAGTCACCTATGTACTACATAGTACCATGTCGTCATTGCTATCATCAAGAGTCATCTTATATATGGATGGCTAAGATTCAATTTTAGTTTTGGTTTTAGCAAAAAAAAAAAAGAATGAGCACCATCTTCGAGGTTTAGATTTTACTTAGGTGGGTTGGGTTCAGATATTTTCCTTGATTCAGATGTTTTTAAGGTCATGTTGGTTTAAGACGGGTTTGAGTTGGATTGCCATTTCTAAATTTAGAGTTGTGCTAGGGCAATCCCAACATGTTGGGGTTACAATGACCCCAAAATTGTCTGTTGTGCACAGACAATAACTGTTTGTGTATCTGTGCAAAACTTGGGATTATAGTAACTCAAGATGTTCGTGTCACTAGTGTCAGCATAGTTTTATTCCTAAATGTAATTAAGTACCTTGTTTATTTCTCACATTCAGTAAATACATTATATTCTCACACACAATCGATTTAGTGTTATTTTTAGAGCACAATAGGACATTCGAACACGTTTTATATTTATTTTTTAGTATTTTATTCAAAACATGTACGGAGTACATAGGATATTTTAAAATGTATGTGTGCAAATCTGTGAACTACAAATATCCATCATATTTTTCTAAAATTTAGAGTTATGAGTAACATAATACTCGTTTTGTACACTCATTGTTTAGCATATAATCAAAGCATTTACACTATAAACTGTATGTATGCATATTTGATAATTGTATATTGACCATTGTGTTTATACAAAAATGTGAGATTGACTTGTGCATATTTACGAAGAACTCAATATTCATTTTATTATTTTATACACTAATTACTCCCTCCCTCCCATTATTGTTTACTCCCATACAATAATTTTTTACTAAAGTTATTTTTAATTCAATTTATTTGAAATTGGTAAGTAATAAAAATGTAAACTTTATATATTTAAAAACTTCATTAAAAATTTTACAAAATAATACTCCGTAGGTGACAAGACTATATTATTTTTTTCAGATGAGTCGCAAAAATAAGTCAATAACGTGGATAAAATTTGAACATGTAGCAACTTAAATTGGGACGTAGCGAGAACTATTTTATAATATACATGTGTGTATGTAAGAGAGACGCTTGTTACATACACAATGTTCATTATGCTCATATAAGAAATGTCTATTTTTTGTTTGTTCTAATTTCAATAGTACCAAACGTAGGTCAATTCAAAATAGTTTTGAAATTATTTTTTCACAAAAAAAAATACTTTGGGTACTATCATTAATTTAAAAAAATACTTCGATGCACTCTTGATTTTTTGGTAAGAACTCAGAGGTTTCAAATTATTTGAAACAAATTCTTGAAATCCTAAAATTTGTGGTAATGTACTACGAGAGTACATTCTGTCTATTTGGCAGTTGGGATTGAAACTCTTATTCCTTTGACAAAAACTAATTTTATTTTTACAATCATAATTTTATCAAATTTTAATAAAATCTTTCAATTTGTCAAAGTAAATGAATTTCCAATCAAACGCCTAAATGGATAGAATGTACATCAAAGTCTAATATCACAAATTTTAAATGCCCCGGAGTATGTTTCAAATATTGTGAGACCTGAGAGGTCGTACCAGATAACCAAGAATAGCCCGAAGTATATTTGTGATAATTTGGGACTTAAAAGTTCTTACCAGAAAATTGAAAGCACCCGCAGAGTAATTTTTTGTTATTTTATTATTTCTTATAATTTCTTATAAAGAAATATAAACTACTCAAGTCGATCAAAAAAAAAATGATCTAAGAACAGAAGGATGGAACAGAAAGATCGAGCAAGAGAGTGAAAGAAGAAGAGATTTAATCAAGGAAAAAAATATATGTAAAAGAAGAGTAATGAATATGAGAAGATTGAAGATTTGTGATAATATACACCCATTAATATAAATTTCATATTGGAATAGATTTATCATAATTAGGAAAATATGTATGGATATAGACAATTGAGGGGAGATTTAGTAACACTCATAATTTGCTCACAAAAAAATGCCTTTTTTTGTTTTTTCTCTATTCAATTTAAACTAATTTCAACGATATGTTCTTCACTTTTTAACACTTCTTTAAAACTCTACTCTCCTCTTTTTAAAAGGACTTTTCTATTACAGATTATGTCATTTCACTAATATTATTTTCAATTCAATTTATATAAAAAGTGATATGGAGTATGAACAAGAGATAATATGAGTATTTATTCCTTGCATCCCATTAACTCTTTGATACTTTTAAAAAAAACTAAATTTAAATTGTTGAAAAGTAAAATATGTGGTTAGAATTTGTTTTGAGAAAAAAGCATTGTTGGTAGGCACATTCATTACAATAAGTACAATGTACAGTATTTACATAAAATTTAAGTAATACTTTGTAAGTATGCAATATAAAAATAATAATTTAAAATAAAATACTATTTTTAATTTTTTGTAAAAAATTAAAATACTTTTTTCTTTAAAAAAAATACAATTTTATTTTTCTTGCATTGTGGCACTAAACATGAGAGAACAAATGCATTGTGGCACTTGAAAAAGCCAACTCAATCAACATTTTTCTTCTTTCTTTTTTGCTTGCTATATTTTATCCAGCTTGTTATTAATAGCAAGTTATTTTCATTTTTAACAAGCTTGTGGGCTATCGGCAAGCTCCTTAAAGCATAAAATTTTGCATGTCTTGTTAAATTATACTCCTTCCGTTTCTTAAAACTCTTCCTCTTTCATTTTTTTGTTTTTCTTAAAACACTTCCCTTTTGTATTAAAAAATCACTTTTACCCCTACTTTTTCATACCCTACCTATCACATCATTCTTTTTCACTAATAACTAAACCATCACATCTTACTTTACCCATCACATCAAGGGCAAAATTGGAAAGTCAACTAAAATTACACTTTCTTTATTTTTTTCTCAAAGTCAAAAGAGAAACCGTTTTGAGAAACGGAGGGAGTAAGAGATAACAACTTATTTTAGCATAGTTGGAGATACTCTAAGATGAGTTGCATTTCACTTGTGATCACGTTTAGTACACAGTAATATTTATATATAAAAAATTATAAAATCTATTAAGTACTATCTTTGATGCATACGGGGGGAGTAGTAAAAAAGGAAAAACTTAAACCAAGACAAACTATTTAACCTGGTTTGATGAATTTCTGCATGTAACAAAAAATATAGTACTAAAAAACCAATACAAAAATGGTTTCAAAGTAATAATAATTAAAGGTGGCATAATGTTAAAAATAATCCCATAGCCGGAAATAGGCCAATACAATAACATAACCATCCGTGTTCCATACCACTCCTCTCCTACTTGCACAAAAATAACAATAAATTCATCTCACTTTGCCATTTCATATACCCACAAATATTGGAGGGAATTAAAAAAAACAAACCTCATAAAAATTCCAATGCGTCCTGAAAAAGAACTCTTTAATGTTGGAATTAAAATTTAAAGTAAAAAAAACAAAAGCCTACTAAAAATGGGGTTCTCAAAAGCCTACTACTCAGGCACCCAAGTTATTGTCTTCAAGCAGTAGCAGGCACTCGTGGGGCCATGTTCTTTGCATTTCCGTAAGGCATTCCTTCCCCGCCATCACGATTCACACGCCCCCCGCCGTAGTTGTTCCCACCATGATCTGACCAATAGTATCCATCGTTTCCACGGTTTGACGATCCTCCACGATTACCGCCCCCGCCACTCCGGTTGTTGTTGAATTCATTCCTCCCACTGTTGAACTCTCCCCTGTTGTGTCCTCCCCTTCCCCCACCACCACCTCCATAGCCTCGCCCTCTTACTCCTTCACTTCGGTACATTGACCCCCTTCCCGGCAAGAATCTTCGGTTGTTACCTATTACAGGGCACAAACATTTTAAAAAAAAAAAAAGAAACTTTAGACAAATAAACCATGGGATCACTCGGAAGTTGAAAAAAAATACTTTCGAAATACAAATACTCCGCACTTAGGTGCAGGTGACAGTTTGGGAATATGAATGAGGTGTTGTAAGCATTGGTTGATTTCTATTAGGTAGTGTTTGGCAACTAGCATTTCATTTCAATTCACGCATTTCAATTCCAAAATTTGAAATCCTGACTTTCAAATGACAAGGGGAGGTGCATGGATTTCAAATTAAACTTTGTTATGAATGAAAAGAATTTGACCCAAATCTAAATTCAAAATGTTTAAGTTTCCCAAACATGGAATTTGAGCCAAATCCAAATTCATATTCCCAAACATACCATTAAGATAATGATGCACATATATTATATGCATAGAATGAGCAGTTGAGCATATCATTAGCTCCTTAATATTAGTTTAGTGTTGAATAATTAACTTGCCTCGTGAACTAGTAGACCTCTTCTCCTCAACAACTGCTTGGCGTCCACCAATCGCTACAGGCGATGCCTGTATTTATATAGACAACTTATTTTAAAACAAGTGACAAAGGCATAATGAAAAGATTTAAGATGAGATGAATGGGATATAGTGATATGTACAAGAAACATGATTAAATATGCATCATTTTTCAACAAACATGTGGGATGTTTGTTTATGTATTGGCTTTGGGTTTTATTCAGCCTTAAAATGAAGGTCTAAGCTCAACGGTGATACAGCTCTGCTTCTGTTGGACTGCTGCAACAGGCAAGTAGCCAATGGGGTCTTGGGCGGCAACAGTCTATCCTTATACCAAGGAAGAAAGTAGTAGTGCTTGAAAGCATTGCGGAACATGAATGGGATTAGAACTCCATAAACTAAAAGTTGTAAACAATGCACTCCCATAGGGTGAATATGCAACAAAACATGATTATCTGAGATAAAAAAAATCTCAGATTGAACGGCATACGTGTCCCCTCTACCTTCTGCACATCCTGTCAGAAACTTTTATCTCACTTGCATGATCACAAGGATTTGTGTACAAAGACCTTATAACCTATGTTGCACGGAAAGCTCATATAGGTTGTCGTCGCCATTTAAGAAACTTAGGACACGCGTGGGAGACGTCTCGGAAACTCCACGTGGCGTTTCCTGAACTTTAATTTAAAAAAATGATGGGAGACATTGGAGAGACAACGGGGAAACGCATCTCCCTTTTCTGAATCGGCTTGGACACAGATCGAAAGAGGAAAAAGGCAGAAAAAGAAGAGAAGAGCCGCTAACACGGTTGCACCTGAATCGGTCGTCTCCCAACTCTTTCCTCTGTGATTCCTATGCAAATTGCTAGGGTTTTTTTCTTTTCACCTGTACTCCGTATTATATATGGCTGAGCTTATTTTTTTAAATCTAATTCTTGGGCTTCTTTCTGAATTGATACACATGGCCCAAATAAAAGACTTAACCCACTTATATGCGGCGCTAGATATCCCATATATATATATATATATATATAAAGAAAAATGGAAAAACTTATGTGACATATACATATACATATACATATACATATACATATACATATACATATACATATACATATACATATACATATACATATACATATACATATACATATACATATACATATACATATACATATACATATACATATACATATACATATACATATACATATACATATACATATACATATACATATACATATACATATACAAA